ATCCTTTTTGTGGTTTTTAGTCTTAGCTCCTTGACCTGCTTCTTAAACTGCAATTGCTAGTGTGGAGAAATTTTCTCCAGGAGGGGGGTATTAGCCCCCTTCAGCTTCTTTCAGCCCTGAGGGGCCCAGCCCTCTCAGAAGAGGCAAGCATCTTGTTTACTGCTACAGCAAGTAATTGATCTCAGATGCAATACGAGTATGTGACGTTGTGAAGGTTTACTCAGCCCTGTAAAAACTTCAGACAGTATTACCAAAGCTGGCTTCTCCTCAGGAAAATTAATGAATAGAAAAAGAACAAAAACTGACAAACATAAACAATTTATTATTTAGAAAATATAAAATATAAAACACTTAAATATGAAATATTAATCCTACCTTAAAGAAAATGAAAATGAAAAATATAAATATCTGAATTCAACGCTAATATGTATATATAAAACTTGGGTGTCTGGTGTTGGTGACACTGCGTGTTGTTGAAATCGTAGCCGTTGCCGATGATGGGGGGGGGGGGGGTCGCAGGTGTTGATGACAACCCACCGGCTCGTTCTTCACAGATTTTCTAGCCGTCAATAATCCGTCCAGATGACAGGAAAACAAGTTTTTTTCCACTGCATTGATGAGGGGTTATATCCTGCTACTTGCATACACAAACAGGTAAGTGGATCAAAAATTTGGGACGTCTCAGAACGTTAGTCTGTCTCCTTCAGTTCTACTCGTTGATTGGCAGGTGACCCTCTCTGTCATCCAAGCTGGAAAGATAGACAGGTTACCCACTGCTTAAGAAATCACTCTCCATGATAAGTACAATACCTAAAAGATGTGGTGATTATTACAACAGTCAACTTAGAGCAAGACTGAAAGTACTAAGTTTATTATTGGTCAAAAGTGAAGCTTTCAACCAATAAATCCACTAGAATACAAGGCAGGCATGTACTTACAGTAGTGCTGGGAGCTGTGAGTCTAGTGATTACTGTTTGGACCGGAGCCCCACACGTCACCTTTCGGGGGGGGGGGAAGAAGGAGGGGGAAGGGATAGGAGAAGCTAGACTTACCCTACCTTAACAAGTTGTCGGCAATGAAACTATTGTTACTGTATACTCCCTCGCTACTCCTATCTATTGAACTTTTCCCTCACAGACGTGGTCAAGCGACTGCCGCTCCTTGCAAGAGTCCAGTGTTGCAAAGTGTAGTTTAATAAGAGACAGTCCATCTCTTACCTTAGCAGGACAATTAAGGAAAATCCTACTCCCACTTTATTACCATGGTAAAGATAGTGTACATTGTTGTCTATGCTTAAGACAGTAAGAATCAAGCATTCTGCTTTTTTCATGGAGGAAGTTTGGCAAGGAAGTAAAAAGTACTAGGTCAGCTTTTCCTTTATGTTCGAGGGGCACTGCAGCGGCGTAGGACGCTGTGAGGTCAGATTACTTTTTGCCCTACTGGGAGCCACACTGACGCCAGGATAACCAACAAAGAACACTGATCCATGTGTTAGTGTGAACAAAGTGTCTCACAAAACATGATAAACACTTACAGAGAAGTGATCAGCTTCTTTAGTGATATGGTGTGAACAATTATTGATGAACAGTATAACAACAAGTGTTGCGATCCAACAGAGTGTAGTGCGACATTCTTCAAAGAACACTATTCTTCAATCAACACATCAGATATCCGGGCGTAATTATGGGTCAGATACATATACCCAGGAAAGTGTTCTAACTCGTGTTGTACTACTATTGACTGCACAGTTGAGTATAAGTTACGAGTTAGTCACTTATAAACCCCGGTGATAAGTGGACCTTTGAGTCCACACAAGTAAGTGTCATCAGCCATCAGTGTCTGATATATGCTGACATAACACTCCCTAGGGGTAATTTATAATCTAACCTAATATACTTTATTACAGCCCGTTGTGAAGTGGATGAGACAGCTTCTCAAGACCTTGTCTGCAGGGGCGGCTGTGTGGACGACACCTGTCTTATCAGCTAAGTATTCCCTATATTTAATGTTTAGCCTTAGCTGGTAAACCATTTCTCAACAGCTAGTATTATTAATTCCTGGCCTCGTGAGCCCTATCATACTTTCTCTTGAAACTGTGTACTGAGTTTGCCTTCACGACTTCCTCATCTAGCTCGTTTCACTTATTTATCCCCTGGAGACCGAAGAATTGATATATATTATATATATATATATATATAATATATATATATATATATATATATATATATATATTGTACATGAATTAGCACGAACTCATTGAAAATTAAGTCCTTTCTAAAGTTTTCTTTTATACATTAAAAGACATTTTTCCAATTATGTTAATATAAAAATTAATGATTTGGTACCAAATGAACCTTAGAAAACTTACCTAACTTTATTATGACAAGTGCAATTTAATTTAGCCTAATCCAAATAAATATATTTTAGAAAAGTTTACAATATTTTAATAATAAACAAACACAGTGAAATATATTTTCTTTGCTACGTTCAGAATGATTTTTGCGAAACTATTGCATACACAAAATTTCACTTGCCTAGTTACATTAGCTGCAGCTAATGTAACTATCAGAAACAGACTACAGTACCATGGGCAGCTGAATACATCTTGGTGGAGGAACGTACCTGGAGTATATCTGGACAGTATTCCGGGGATCAAACGTCCCCGCGGCCCGGTTCACGACCAGGCCTCCCTGTGGATCAGGACCTGATCAACCAGGCTGTTAATGCTGGCCGCACGTAGTTCAACGTACGAACCACAGCCCGGCTGATCCGGCACCGACTTTAAGTATATGTCCAGCTCCATCCTGAAGGCAGCCAGAGGCCTATTGGTAATTCCCCTTATGGCTGGTGGAAGGCTGTTCAACATTCTTGGGCCCCGGACACTTATGGTGTTTTCTCCTAGTGTAGAAATGTATTAATGTTTTGTGACTCTTTGCTTTAATTCATTTCCACTTTATATTGTATTTTCTTGTTGTTTTATTCAGTTAGGTTATATTTTATGTTTGCAGATTTTAAAACTGAGCAAACTATAATTTTTGGGTATGTGCTAATAAATATAATCAATTTCTCAATTGATTATATTTTCGAATACCCCGACATAATAATGAGTAGGCGTCATCCCATTCACAAGTAAATAATATGGCTTCATTACAAAATTACAAGATTTTTCTTACAACCCATTTGATTTTTTTCTTCTCGTACCACCAATTTTGCTCTAGGTAAGAAATGATTATCTTGGCATAAACATGTATACATTACAGTACATTAACGTTAATAGCCAGTTGTGAGTGTGGGGGAAGTTCGTGAGACAGTAGGTAAAATGAAGGGGGGTAAGGCAGCCGGGATTGATGGGATAAAGATAGGAATGTTAAAAGCAAGGTGGGGATATAGTTTTGGAGTGGTTGGTGCAATTATTTAATAAATGTATGGAAGAGGGTAAAGTACCTAGGGATTTGCAGAGAGCATGCATAGTTCCTTTGTATAAAGGCAAAGGGGATAAAAGAGAGTGCAGTATACCTGGTAAAGTGTATGGTAGAGTTATTATTGAAAGAATTAAGAGTAAGACGGAGAATAGAGATAGCAGATGAACAAGAAGGCTTTAGGAAAGGTAGGGGGTGTGTGGACCAGGTGTTTACAGTGAAACATATAAGTGAACAGTATTTAGATAAGGCTAAAGAGGTCTTTGTGGCATTTATGGATTTGGAAAAGGCGTATGACAGGGTGATAGGGGGGCAATGTGGCGATGTGCAAGTGAAGGTTTTAGGAGGTAGGTTACTGAAAGCAGTGAAGAGTTTTACGAGGATAGTGAGGCTTCAAGTTAGAGTAACAGGAAGGAGGGAAATTTTTTCCAGTAAAGTAGGCCTTAGAAAGTATGTGTGATTCACCGTGGTTTGTTAATATATTTATAGATGGGGTTGTAAGAGAAGTAAATGCGAAAGGTCCTTGGCAAGAGGCGTGGAGTTAAAAGATAAAGAATCACACAAATGGTGTTATCACAGTAGGCTTTGCTGATGACACTGGTGATCTTGGGAGATTCTGAAGGAAGTTGCAGAGGTTGGTGGAAAAAATTTGGTACGTGTCATGCAGGTATGAAAGAAGAAAATTTAAAATGAATACAGGAAAGAGTAAGGTTATGAGGATAACAAAAAGATTAGGTGATGAAAAAATTTGGATATCAGATTGAGGGAGAGAGTATGGAGGAGGTGAATGTATTTAGATATTTGGGATGACGTGTCAGCGGTGGGTCTATGAAAGATGAGGTGAATCATAGAATTGATGTGGGGAAAGGGTGAGCGATGCACTTAGGAGTCTGTGGAGACAAAGAACTTTGTCCTTGGAGGTAAAGAGGGGAATGTATGAGAGTATAGTTTTACCAACACTCTTATATGGGTGTGAAGCATGGGTGATGAATGCTGCAGCGAGAAGAACGCTGGAGGCAGTGGAGATGTCATGTCTGAGGGCAATGTGTGGTGCGAATATAATGCAGAGAATTCGTAGTTTGGAAGTTAGGAGGAGGTGCGGGATTACCAAAACTGTTGTCCAGAGGGCTGAAGAAGGGTTGTTGAGGTGGTTCGGACATGTAGAGAGAATGGAGCGAAACAGAATGACTTCAAGAGTGTGTCAGTCTGTAGTGGAAGGAAGGCGGGGTAGGGGTCGGCCTAGGAAAGGTTGGAGGGAGGGGGTAAAGGAGGTTTTGTGTGCGAGGGGTTTGGACCTCCAGCAGGCATTCTTGAGCGTGTTTGATAGGAGTGAATAGAGTCAAATGGTTTTTAATACTTGACGTGCTGTTGGAGTGTGATCAAAGTAACATTTATGAAGGGGTTCAGGGAAACCGGCAGGCCGGACTTGAGTCCTGGAGATGGGAAGTACAGTGCCTGCACTCTGAAGGAGGGGTGTTAATGTTGCAGTTTAAAAACTGTAGTGTAAAGCACCCTTCTGGCAAGACAGTGATGGAGTGAATGATGGTGAAAGTTTTTTTTTTCGGCCACCCTGCCTTGGTGGGAATCGGCCAGTGTGTTAATAATAAAAAAATAATAACGTTATTAGGGATGTGTATCTTAGTATTCATATATCGAAACTTTCAGAGTCACTTCCATGAATACCTAGCTGAATACCAACCTCAAATTTTGAGATTGAATCCACATTTTCGCATCGATTAGAAGAATGAACTGTTTTTTTATGTAGATTTCAAACTAATTATGACCCATTTTTAAGTAGTGATAAGATATCAGTAGTCCATTTTGTACTATGTACACCAACTATATGAAACAATTGAAAATGACTAATATTTGTTTCAAGTGGCGTAATAATGCCCAGCTGGGTCAGACAAAGATCCATTCTGACCTCTACAATCCTGCTTTTTACACAACTGAAAACACATAGTCAATTATTATTATTATTATTAAAGATTCGCCGGTATTCTCCCGGCCCGGGCCTTGTCCAAGTGGTGGCCCGGCCTTGGCTCCCTCTTTAGGGAGATGTCTGAGACCTAAGTCTCCCATGGGAGGAGGCACAAGTACCTCCTCATCTTTGGGACCAACTGTCCCCAGGCCTAGCCACAAGCTAGGCCTCTCTGGTCTGCCATCCCCGCCCCAAGGGGGCTAATGGGAATGACAGTCTTATGAGCTAAAGGCTCGGGCTCAGGCACCTACCCTACCCTAGAAGGGCTGGGCATGGTATCGATGATCACATAGTCAAAAATTTTAAATGAACTCATTAAAAATTAATCAAAATTTAACAAATCTTTAACATACATATGGTAGATATAATCTTAATACAAATGAACAAAACTAATATCACTAACTCCTGTACTCGACTTTAATTCACTAATGCTTTGCTATTGTTGGAAATTATAATGTTGACACAACAGCTGGCGAAATACTATGCGTTTACGGTAGAGTGAGCCAGACGGGCACTCACAAAAACTTCAAACTTCTGCTATTCATATATGGTCAACTATGATATTACGTATTTTACAGAATATTCATGCTGAAGCCAATGTCTACAATGTATTCAGTATAAACGTGTAAGTTGACTGATATATGAAGAGGAATGACTTTTAGTGTATTTTTTGTCAACTTGCAAACTGGCAATTGACACACCACTTAAGATAATGCAAAGAACACGAAGACACAATACTCTGACTGGAACAATACACAAATAACCGGCACATAGGAGAAAGAAACTACATGAATTGTATATGGTCTAAGTCGGACCGCAACGTCGTCATATAGTTTCTCTTAGGTGCGGGTTGTGTATAAGATAATATAATATGCCTTTACAAGAATAGAAAAAGGAAGCATGTTTTGTATGCATATTAACAGTTCCAGAATAATAAGTATGATGGTATACTTTACAGGTGTGATTGGTGTGAGCATCCAGCAGGTGTGTGTAAAAGTGTTTGATCTGAGTGGAGACAAGTTAGCTAGTCTTCGTCCTGGAGTTTGGAAGTACACTGCCTGAATTCTGAATGCCAGGTGTTAATGCTTCAGTTCAGAGGGTTATTCGAATGTGTTTTCGTAAGACAGTCACTGAATGAGACGGTGAATATTCCTTTCTGTGGCTCACCCAACCTTGGTGATACATAAACAGTATACTACATATATAAATAAACAAATAAAAGAACATTCTTCATTGTATGAATGACATTCTGCAAAGACTATGTCAGACACTGCAACACAAGGGTATCTTGGTACAAAACAAAAAACAACTTGGACAACTTCAACTAGTGAGAATGGCTGGATTTGAGAGGGACGTGACCTCCCAACGACTACATTCTTACCTCTACTAGTGGCCTACATCTCACCTCCTGGTGGTATACAAGGCTCCATACTGTCACTTCAACTCCATATTGTTTCAGACTATGGAACAATACTCTTCTCCAGACTGAGGGACTGACCACCTCTAAACTTTAAGGGTGATGGACTGATTACATCGTCTTCACGTCTCTTCTGCTTCTATCAACTTTTCTGTACTCGACTGAAGAAGCCTGCTGTGTAGGCGAAACGTTTCGGAATAAAGATACCTAACTGTTGCATATGTGTCTTACCTAACAACCTGTCGGTATTTTATACCATTTTGATGTTCAACTTAAATTAAAGAGAGTACAGATGATTGAGACTTACAGTGAGATTAAAAAGACATTGACCTGAATAAACCCTATAAAACCAGGAAGTAGCAGTTCAATAATTATGTCAGACTCACACAAAATTTGAAACATAATGATGACTATTGGTTAAGTTCAGCTTAGATAGTCCAACAGAAATAAATAAAATTCAAAATATGTGGCTAAATGGCAAGAATAACCTGAATAGTACAATAATAAGAGTGACAAGAGCAATAACTCAAGTTTACCTCATCTACAAAAATATTTAACGTTGACAAGACAGCCAGGTAGCCTCAAACGACGCTAGAAGCACAACAGCCGGAGAGAACTCTCATTTCAACCAGTACCAGGATTGTGGAGAAGCATCTGAAGCTTCTCCATGATGAGAAAGTCGTTGTCTCACTGAACACGAGCTTAAACTATAACCCCGACGTCAGGTGTAGCGTGAGTGTGAGAGTGTGCCCTAATGGCAATAAATGGTGGTTTGTTAATTTTAAGTTTTGTTAGTTTAATATTCCCGTGTTTACGAATTCTGTTAATTAAATGCCTTTACATGTGAGGCAATACAATACTTACGATGCTCAATGTTTATTGTTATATGGTCTTTAATTTTTAAGAATTTCTTATTCGTATTCTGGGCTTATAGAATAGTTCCGACGTTATCATGAAGATAAGATTTCTGTCTTCAGTTATTGGAAAATAAAAATTTTTCCTAGTTCCATTATCAGCTATCATTCATACACATATTACAGTAAAATTTGTGACTCCACTCTACGCCTACTGAGTAAATATCTTTATTGTCAATTTTTTGAAGGAAATTCTTAACGTAAGTCCCTTAATATGTGACACAGTATCAGAATGAAGTGAGCCTGGTTAACTGTTAAGGAAAGTTCACTTTGATGACCTGCAGTACTATACGTCATCCCCAAAGCCCACGTCTATGCAGATGATTCTACTCATACCATTTAGTTATACGAGAGGACACACGGCGCTTAGTCACATCAGTTACCAACTTGCATTTTCATAGATATCAGATACCAACTTGCATTTACATCGACAATAGTTACCAACTTGTACTTACATAGACATCAGTTACCAACTTGCATTTACATAGACATCAGTTACCAACTAACTTGCATTTACATGGACATCAGTTACCAACTTGCATTTACATCAACCTGCTGCAAGCAATAATGTATTACATATTTCTTAGTAAACATTAATGATGTTGGTCCCTAGGCAGCGTAATGTTACTATCGGAGCCGTGATAGAAATGAATAGACGAGTTATAGACCCCAACAATAAAACTGATATCCGGAGGTTAAAAAACGAGAGTAATGACTATGAAGAATCATGTAGTGAATGAACCCTGTAATCATATAAGCCGAGAAGCTTCAACAGTTAAGGCGTCTTTGTTTACTTGTGGCAGAAGAGGCTGTGGAACTATGCAAGGCACCGGTTTGCTCTCAGGTTTTGAAGACAACGACAGAAGTCTCTGAACAAATGTTTCGCTCCGTGTAGCGCTTAATCAAGTTATACATAGATTAAGGTTAACACGGATATAAGCTCAAGGTGGTAAATAGGTAGATTGTATGAGGGTTAAATGTAAACTGTATAACTTGGCAGAGCACTACACAGGACGAAACGATGTTTCAATAAAACCTTGTATTGCAACGTACGTCTTTGTCTTTATACGTATCTGCAATACGCCATTTGATACATGCAACACATTGTTTGTACGCATCTTGTCTCCATCGTCTGCATAAGGATGAGAACCACGCAGTGCAACTCATCTCTACACTGTATCCGCTACGATTAGACCTCTCATGTCTTCAAAGTCTTTATCATAAACATGTTGATAGACACACCTCATATTTGCTTACAACTTTATTAGATAAATGTTGAAGTGGTTGCTGAAGAGACAGATATGACACTGAAGCAGGCGTGGAAGAGAGGTTGTGTGTACGCTTGTGTAATAAGATCACAGTAAACAGGGATATATATTAGATAAGTTTACAATATTTTAATAATAAACAAACACAATGAAATATATTTTTTTCGTTGGGTTCAGAATGATTTTTGCGAAATTATTGCATACATAAATTTTCGCTTGCCTTACTCGGCAAGAAGAGCGTTGCTGTTTAAGCCAAAATCGCAAGTTTTACCTATTCCGCACGACATATATATGTAGAGCAACCACTGTGAGAAGATTAGTGAACTTCCAAGCGTTTGGAAGTTCACTATTAATTTCACAGTGGTTGCTCTACATATATATGTCGTGCGGAATAGGTAAAACTTGCGATTTTGGCTTAAACAGCAACGCTCTTCTTGCCGAGTAAGGCAAGCGAAAATTTATGTATGCAATAATTTCGCAAAAATCTTTCTGAACCTAACGAAAAAAAATATATTTCATTGAGTTTGTTTATTATTAAAATATATTTAGTTGGATTAGGCTAAAGTAAATTGCGCTTGTTATAATAAGGCTAAGTAAGTTTTCTAAAGTTCTTTTGGTACAAAATTATTAATTTTTACATTAACATAAATGAAAAAAATATATCTTTAAACGTATATGAAAGTTTTAGAAAGGGCTTAATTTAAAAGATAAGGAGGACTTTCAAAACCCCCTGTGATCCGTTCTGTTCATTTGCTAATGTTCCTTGTGGTGTATAAGTCACAGACTCATTGATAATTGCCAAGGGACTTCGGTGATTCAGCTACTGCAGACGTTTACTCACTTGCGTGCAGAATGATATCAACTGCTGGTTGGCGCTTGACATTTGATCTAGTATGCTTGACCTTTCGTTAGAAATCTAGAATCTAAAAATTTTTATATAATAATTAACAGAAGGTGATATTAGTGTTTTGATCTTAGAGTACGAATTATTTAGAATTTGGAAAAAAATATGGAATATTAATATTAGAAAGAGAGTGTTGGGAAAGCGAGCTTTATTTTATTATTAGATACATAGCATTACCAGGCATATCGTCACCGAGAATGGTACATTAATTCATTCAATGACTGTGTTGGATCAGTCATAAATTCAGCTCTGAACCCTTTCATTTTTAAGTTATTTTGCACATGTGCATTTTTATTATTTTTCCTTCAGGATGCTACCCACTATTAGATGAACATGGGTATTAAGTCTGAAGTGTAGTGACTACATATTTCGCCTCGTCCTGATAAATTTTGGTTTGGACGGACATAGACTTGAAGACAAACAAGCGCCGAAGCTGCTGTATCACCAGTGGACCACTAACATTATTATCATCACACTTTTATTGAAATGTGGTGATAATGAATGTAGGTGATGAAAGTAAGACCATGAACTAACTTTAAATCTTGTTTACAAGGCTCAAAAAACATTCGAAGGACTGGAGGAGATAGCACAAGGTGGGCAAGCACACACACACACACACACACACACACACACACACACACACACACACACACACACACACACACACACACACACACACACACATACACACACACACACACTATAATTTAACATCAAGTATGACAAGAAGGATTAATAAAGAAATTAAGGAAAATACGCAATTTAAAAAAATTCAATAGAAGTTTTATATTCCTCCTTACAGCACCTGCATAATATATTAGATGAGCAAGGCGAGATAATGAAGAAGAGAGAGGTTACAGCTCAGGAACTTTTTAAGAGTAAGAATAAAATTGAGAAGGAAATTAAAGTTTTAGTAGAGAACAAAACTAAAGAAAAAAATTATGTATTTAACACTGAGAAGAAGACAAAATAAGAACAGCAGGCGTAGCTAGCACAAGATATTTCTGAAATTTTCAACTAAAGTTTAGAGAATTAGTGGAAAGGACTGAAAAAAATATAAATCTAGGACTGAAGATAATTTGGGAAAATTCACTAGAGAAAAGACAGAGATTAAACAGCAGGTGATGTTAGCTAAAGAACTCGCTGTTAGAGCCAATATCAGTCAAGAAATAAAAAAAAAAGTTTGCAAATAACTAAGATATTGAGGGACACTGTTGATAACAGAAAAAGGAGTTTTTTTTTTTTGACAGTTATGAAAAGGAAATAAACTCACGAATAGAAAGAATCAGAGATGAAGCACAACACATTAAAGAGAACACAAAATGCACTGACTTTATATTTCAAGAACAACATATAGCCAGATTAGAAAAAAATAAAAAAGATAGACATAAGCCACAGAAAATAACATTTACGCAGATGAAGCAAAAAGAAGAAATTAAAAAAGAAAAAGCTTAGGATATCAAGGAATTGGAGAATTATAATTATACACATGTTAAACAAATTCTTTCAGTGGAAGGTAGTGAAAATAAAAAAAATCATTAAAAATACTGAGAGGTTGAATGAGGACAGAAGTGAGGAAAAAAAGGAACAGTTTCTGTTCATAGAGAAACTGCCATACAAACCCATCAAATGGTTTTTCAATAAGACTTCCACAGGATAGATGAAAATCACATTAAAACAAATGGGAAAAAGACAGCAGTGAAAGCAATATATTTCTGAAGATTTTATACACTAATATACTTGGGGTAATCTATTAAAAGTTAAAACTTGGGGAAATTATAAATAAAAAAATCTAATATGGTTTGTCTAACTGAAACTAGACTGGAAAACAATATTTTCCTGAGGTTGTATTTACCAGAAATTACTCAGTGTGAAGATACACACTAGGAAAGAACATAGGAAGACTGGAAATATTGATATAAGAATCTCTTCAAGTTACGGAAATTAAAATCATAAGTACTGAAAATGTTGAAATTACCTAATATATAATATGTTGATAATACATAATATCATTGGAAAGTTATTAATGAAAGGTGATCGTGTAAAAAGGATAAAAGTTATTGTACTTGGAACGATTTAACCGTAAACAAATAAGTTGATTAGCCTGTGAGGTTGGAACTTCAATTAAAGGTCAATAGATTTCCACAGTTTATTTAAAGCTTTATTTATGCATCAGCATATACTGTACGTGAAGTGACTACAGTGAGAGGCAGCAACACACCATTATTATTAGGTTTAGTGTTAACTCAAACATCGGAGGAAATTTTTAACATAACCTACTTAAATCCACTGGAAAAGAATGATCGTCTATTGGAAATTTTATACGTAGTGAAATATAACTTAGGAGATGAATAAAATATCATAAACAGGAATGATTAGATTATTCGAAAGTGAATTACAATGCATTAAAACAGTATTTTAGTAAATGAAACAATATACTAAAAGTGACAGATATATATCATCTGTGGCAAGAGTTCTGTAGTTAGTATATGAAAATTGAATTAAACAGTGTATTTGAAATAAAAGATGGAACGATATAGAATGGTTTAATGGAAGGTAATGGAGAGCTATGAAAAGAAAGACAGGGCTTAGAACCA